AACGTTTGTTAATTTAACGCATTGGAAGCAAATTTTGTTCTAATACTTACTATAAACTGATTTAATAGAAAATATTTGTGATATTGAAATGCATGGTCGGTAATATAGCTGTCTCTTTTCCTCACGGTCCGTATGTGTTACATTGCGAATAGCGCATTCAGAACTGCGCGTAAAATCAAATGAATAAGGTGTATATTCTTCCGCATATAGCAATAAATTCGTAAAATTCTACCTTGCTTGCATTTTGAACTGTCATAACTCTGACGCATACTTTTTAATTAAGACCTTAAAAAGTATGCATTAAAGGTGACTTTCAATGATTAAATAATGCCTTATATTGTTTTTCACTACGCGATCAATTTACTCCGTGCTTAGTTCCGTGGATCGTCCAATGTACCTATTAGACAGGTTTCGGCCACGATTTTGTTCGTGAGGTTGTATCTAGGGTATTTAATATCGTTGAAGGGCTCTTAAGACATAGGTAATATTTAAATAAAGAAGTTGTAATACTTAACCGATTTAAATGTTCACTAACTTTATGTAAGTCGACAAACTAAAACAAAATCAATTAATATCTACTCACCGTCTTCATTCATGGCCTCGCTTATTTCTTTCCAACATTTGTCAACCACGTATCTATTACAGTGCCTTTTGTCGGTTTTGTCCCACAGAGGTTGTTTAGTGAATACTAAGGATATCAAAATGTCATTATCCATTTTTCTACTTAAAAAATAATTGCGTGTAGTAATTGACGTACCTGTTGTCGTTGTTTATTAATTTAAAATTGCAGCTGACCAGCGCGAGTCGGCGCCGATCGGCGCCGATCGGCGCTTATCGACGCTTATCGGCGCCGATCGGCGCCGATCGGCGCTGGTCCATAGAAAAAGGATCAGCGCCGATCGGCTTTCGGCTTTCTTTCTGTATACGGCCTTACTTTTGGTAGGGTCACAGTTTCCAAATTGTGTTAACAGGTGGAGTTAGTTGCCGAGCGGTCGATTCGTTTGCTCATGCAACGTGAAGTGAGCGACATTTCGTCATTCGCTAAAACTCAACACGCTGTCAAAGTCAATTTGAGAATGTGTGATTTACAATACACAATATTGTTGCTCCGTTTATATTGTGTTAATTAATTTTAATCTAATAAAACATCGATTGTCAGTTGTCGCGACGTGTTTTATTCGATAACACTGCTTCAAAGGTGCAGCGTGTTAATCGGTGGCGGCCATTTTATTCGCCGGCTGTGTTCATTCGTGCCGTGCCCATCTCGCGATACGGAGTACTAACGAGCCAGTCAGTTGGCATTTTCGCGACTAGGGCGAAGGTGTCTCTAGTTTTTAGCTTTTAGGTATTCGAATTAAACATAAAAGTGAATAAAAATGACGACAAACATGCAGCAAGGAACGATTCTGGACGTGTTGAAGAAGAAAATGCGCCAGACAAAAGAAGAAATGGAGAAATATAAAGACGAGTGCGAGGAGTACCACAAACGATTACAAGTGGAAATAATGCGGAGAGAAGAAGTAAGCAACCGTGCCATGTATTTGTGTTGTGTTTTGTGAGAGTATTCTATACAAGTGAAATTAATTTTGTGTCACAATCGACCCAGGTTAAACTTGGGAGTTATCAGTAGTCTTGCACTATCTACCTATAGTGAGTAATGTCCGGCCATACTTAGGTGTGCAGGCAACGTACGCATATTCGCCTCTCTTTCGGATTCATCTCGGCTCGGTACCTGCGAGCGAGACGGCAAATAATTATTCTTTTCGTAGTGTGTTTCTTTCGACTGAGGATTCTCTAAAGTATTGTTCCACAAATTGGGTTTTGTTAACCGATCGGCGGATCGGGCCGTGGTGCGAATGATTTAGTAAAACTGTTTCTTTACATAATGAGCGGGTCCGGGCCGGGCGGCGGTTTCTGTTACACGTAACAGGTTTGGTTGCGTTGGAGGTCGTGTACCGGTCTATTGTGGCACATGTAGAGCGACCGGCGGAGTCCGTAAAGGCTTAACACCCTCAATGCATTCCTGTCGGTCGGACGTCCTCGAAGGACCACTGGCGCCGCGAAGGCGTGTCCGAGTTCCTAGCCGTTATCGCCACATGACGTAACCCTACACGGCAGCATGCCCTTGCGATCACAAACACTCATGAGCACTCTTATAACTACTGTGTGACTGCTTGTAATGTTCACAGAACTTATTGATAGAGAAACGAATTTACCCAAATTAATTTTGTTGTTAATTTTTCGTGAAAAAGTCACAACAGAATTATATTTACTTTTCCCAACTCGTTCTCATGACTTAATTTTACCTTATCATCAAGCTTGTATCAAGTGATAAGAATTGTTACCGATGATAATGCAAGGAGTGGATGTAGTTTTCAATAATACATAATTATTTGTATACCCACGGAGGAGAACCACGAACTTTCATGGGTATTTTAAAAAAATACTATGAATTGGTGACTAAAAGCACAATTAACAGTCTCCATACCAACATAATGCCTAAACCGTAAAGTTTAATGTGGGTGTCCGCTAATATTTACTTACTGCTGAACTTAAATCTTGGGATTACAAAGAAAATTAACGACCTTACGAAAATGTCATAACTATATTACACGAACTCTAAATTGAACACGCTAAAAGTTAACGAGCAAGAGAGGTCGTCATGACAATATCTGCGTACTGAAAATAGATTTTTTGGAAAAGCGATAAAAACCGGTCAAAATGACTGAGCAGTTATAACTTGGTAAGCAAATGACCGAGTTCATTACCTACTTCTAATGAAATTACAAATTGATGCATAACGTACTCACAATATTTTAATTGAAATGTGATAAAAAAAATAATTTAGGAATCTGTTCGTGTTTGGTTTAAGCAGTAATATGAGCAGATCCTTCGAGATTGTATTATTACGCTTACCTGCTAGTACATGCTCACCCTTTGGCTCATAAAAGTGTGTTTACTATTCAGTTGGCTATTGTAAGCGTTCGTTCAATGAATACAATATGCCTGCGTACCGATCCCACTAAAATTAAACAATGCATTTCGGCCATCCATGAACGGGAATTGCATTATCCTATCAGGTGTAACAACCACAAACGATATCCATTCATGAACAACGTGTAGAAATGGGCACTTCATTGATTTTTGTTTTCAATTCGACATCAGCAAGGTCTTTAACCTCTCATGTTAGAAGCTTAACAGGCTTCTTATGCTAAAATAGCCTTACACGTCAATTTGGATTATACTCAGCAAGTTCAAGGTGATTGGACGTAGGTAAAAACGAAATGCCTGACGTTCTATATAAACTTTATGTACGCATTTATCCTCTTTCCAAATAACGTGTGTTACATACATATTGATGAGATCTTCATGTGAGAGTACATTTGTTTAATTCTAGCTAGAATTTAAATGACTTTGATCATTAATTGTTATTTTATTTCTTAATGAAGTGGAATCTCATTGCGGTTATGTTAATTGCTATTGCTACTAATGTAGTGTAAGGTGTTCACTGTAAATAATACAACTGTCAGTGCAAATCACTAGTCCCGTCACGACTATTATTAGCATCCACGCACTGATGACGACACAGGATAAAAGGAGGAGAAACTGGGACTCGTTTGTGCTGCCTCGCGACAAGGACGCGTGATGTCACCATCGCGCATTACCTGCGGAATATAAATAAACCGATGCAAAATATTCCAATGGGCGTTTGATAGATTCACGACACGTTACCTGTTTCGACAGTTAACAACTAGTTAAATGGTGCTTACTTACTAACAATGTGCCGAAACCTTAGTAAGCAATTTTACCGACATAAATATCGATGTATTTGGACACTACTACGTCTCTTTTCAAATTTGATTAGGTACTGTTCTAATCGATCAAATCAAATATTCAAGCATATATGTTTTTTAAACGGTGAACGTTTTTCTATTCTTGAGACGCGCGAGGAGAAAACATAACTATATTTTAGTGGAGAATCAAGACAACACATGTATTCTGACCGCGAAATGCCATTATGAATGCCGTTCGTTCATAGGCGTCCGATGGTCATTACGATAAAATATCGGTGGTAACTACTGATACTCTGCAGATGGTCACTTAAAGTTAGCTGCGGAAAATTTTAGTTAATACACAATCATAATACTCTTTAAATGATGTCTCTTTTTAAATAAATTGTAATAAAAGGATGAATAATTAAAAGCCACACAATGGAGCAGAAAGTTTTGAAATTTACATCATGGAAAATGTGATTTTGTTTTGCATGGTGGATGTGCTAATATATAAAGAATGTAAAAAAATACACCAAATCGTATATAAGCATTATGATACAATGATGACACAGAATATTTCTCAAATAATTAACGAAACTTTATTTGTAAAACTGATAATGACGAGTAATAATAAGAGTCTAATGATGATCGCTGTAGTCTATACTAATATTATAATGAGCAAACATTTTTTTGTTTGCATTGAATAAGCTCTGAAAGTACAAGTCGAAAATTGAAAAAAAATTGTTAGAATCCAACAACATCCCTGATGAACATGGGCTACCGAATATTTAAAAAAAAGTTATTGATCCATATAAAAACATCGATAATGTACTACGTGTGAAAAAATACCAAAAAAAAAACCTTATATCGCGTACGCTGCAGAAATTATTGACAATAGATAGAGCAAAGTGATGTTCTACAGCTTTATGGAAAGCATCAATATCTACAAAAAGTCTTCAGTACCAAATGCAAACAAACAATCAAATTTTTCCTCTTTATAATATTATTGTATAGTTGTTTTATACAAAAGCCTGAGATCTAAAAACTATTGTCTACACAGAAGCGAAGCGGGCAACTAGTAATTTATAAAAATACTCCATTATCCACGATAAGGAATAAAATATTGAATAATATATAATTATTAGGAATTAAGATAATATAATAATGTGGTATTGCTTTATGTATATTTGAATATATTTTTTATAAATCCAATGTCCTTCTTCCCAGGCCGAGTCTGAAGTGGCTGCCCTCAACCGACGCATCCAACTGCTGGAAGAAGACCTGGAGAGGTCAGAGGAGCGTCTCGCCACCGCCACCGCCAAGCTGTCTGAGGCCAGCCAGGCTGCCGATGAGTCTGAACGGTGAGTCCTGTCTTAGACACAGGCTAGGATCCATTATTCTTAATCATAATTCATATTTATACTCTAATCAGTTTACTGTCTCTACTGAGCATAAAAGATAATTCCTTGACGATTCTTAACCAAAATATTTTAAGTTGATAAGTATCTCCTAGATTAATTACAATAATAGTTTGTAATCCCTACTGATCATAAAAGATAATTCCGTTTACATTTCTTAACCAAAATTGAATTCGATAGTTCTTCCCTCTTAGAATAGTTTCAATGTTCATCAATTTAGATTGACTATTTATATCATAAAATTAGTTTTTAATTAAGTTTCTGTTTTCGTTACTACTAAAACCATTATTTCGCATGACTGTTTTGGTTTTGCCTTTAATACCACACCTATCAAAATCTGCCACATTTTTTTATAGCCAGATCTTAGTTTATCATAAAAAAGAATAATAAACTGAATTCTCATGAAAAAGTACGTAAATATCAAAAAATAATTAGTTTCATAGTAATAATTAGAATAGCCTCTCGCATCGTTTCACAACCCTAAAAATATCGTTAGCAGTTCGATGTTATAACATGCATGTGTTTGGCCCTGTACTAACCAGAATACGCAAGGCGTTGGAGAATAGAACCAATATGGAGGACGACCGTGTCGCTATCTTGGAGGCACAACTTGCGCAAGCCAAACTCATTGCCGAAGAGTCCGACAAAAAATACGAAGAGGTGAACGCTTCTACATTTTGTCATTAATAATTAAGTGGTGATACTGTTTTATCAGCTTTTAATTTTAAAACTTTTTGGATAAAAATGACATGCATTACAAAATTTTGGCAGTTTTTGGATTGTCTAGTGACGAATAAACAATTTATCGATAAAACAGTATCAAATATTTATCTTAATTTGATTTGGTAAACTATTCCTTCTTTTAATTCAAATTTATGGAAAACAAATTATTCATCGATTTTAGGCTTCAAATTAAGTTCACTTCAAACGAAAATATTCAATCGAAAAAGGAATAGTTCCGAATGCTATATGTTTTTGTTATTTTCTTGATGTGACGGTTGGAAATGAGTTTTTTTGAAACAACGTTGTCGTTGCAATTTAATATTAGAATCTATTAAAAACGAGAATAACTGGTTTCCTAGCGTCATCTGAGTCTGAATATTGCATAGTTTTATAAGATATTACTTATTGAAATTTCTAATCTTAATCATGTTCCGCAATATTCAGAAGCCTGTCGGGATATAAAATGCAAATTTGAATGCATAGGATCATTATATTTGTATTTTAAAATGTACTTCTATACTTTTGATACAAGTATTAGCGGATTTTGTCCAGCAAATATTTGTATCCCTGATTTTTCCACAGCAGCGTATCATGATATCTTCAAGTGTTGCTTTTATGTTCCTCGCAAAAGTGTTATCGTTTCTTGCATGTCTCCTAACTTTGGGTCACCCTTGCAATAACAATTAGAAATTAGGTTTCATTTTAGGCATAGGTAGGTAGGAATATTTGTTGTCGTCGTTTTTACTCAAGGCTTGTGTTATGGGATCCAGTGCCCGCAAGGTCCTCGAGAACAGGTCGTTGGCCGATGAGGAGCGCATGGACGCCTTGGAGAACCAGCTTAAGGAAGCCAGATTCCTTGCTGAGGAAGCCGACAAGAAATACGATGAGGTCTTTATAAAGGAGTTTCGATGTTGTTTGGTTTGGCATGGTTTGCTCGTACCAAGTATAATGATGATCTGTACATAACTAATATTGTTCAAGTTGATGTCCTTTACATTATTTCTATAGTAAGTAATTGACGAGCACTTCACTGTACTCGTAGTTTCATTGGTGTGTGATTTAATAATATCCCTTTAGAGAGCTTCTTAAGTGAGTAACAGATGTTTTACCAAAACAAAGATGGACAATTGCCATTTCCTACTGATATAAAAATAACGCTATGTTCTCCTTAGTTTCCAAGCGTATATTTTTTATTCGCTCTCTACTAATTCCATTCTCTACAATTTGAGCGTTGTTCCATGCAACTAACACATTTTCTTGATTTTCCTGCATATAATAACTAGTTTGAACTTTAATGCATTTTCAGATTTTTGTGATGTGCTTAAATTGACAATATGATGTTACTCGGATACTTACGTCAAGTATTACAAATATAATAAAATTTATCAAATTGAGATTAGATAATGAATAATGCCGTATTCACGGCTTAGTACCATGTCATTTCCAAGTTTGTCATCAAAAATGTAATTGGACCCGATGCCATATGGCTGTAGTTAAAATGTTCCAATTCCCCTGACATATGACCCTGCGCAGTGAAGGCAGCCGTAAAAGTCGGAGTCCCAACAAGGAGTCGAACCGACCGATCTTGGTATGTTCTCCTTATAAGGAGGGACCAGTCTCCTTCGTCGCATATGTTGTTACATAAGCATTACTTCCATATACGAAGGGTGTAACTCTGGTTGCTCAAGAGTAACGTGTACTATTAATGCAGCTGTTCGATGTTTTTTGTAGTCCGTGACACTAATTACTGTAAGCCGCAGTTTGGTTGTCTAATGTGGTGTGGTGTCTTCAGGTGGCTCGTAAGCTGGCCATGGTTGAGGCTGACCTGGAGCGCGCGGAGGAGCGTGCCGAGACCGGTGAATCGTAGGTTTCTCTCCTAGTCCGCTGACGGATTACAGCTGCTCTCAATATTGACCTTGTACTATCCAGAACTAATGTAAAAACTTCTGCCAATGTTATTCTTTATACGACATTAAATCATAAGAGGAGTTTTGTCTCAGCGAGTCATTCAATATTGAGCAGTAGCGTGTTAGTCCTAAAGCCTTGTTTGCAAGATTTGCCACCGTTCTGCATGGTTGTTCATTTGCATTCGTAACATAGCTGCACCGTAACTCGATTTACCTACATTGGTGTTTCTAAGATTGGCTCTCACTTATACTTTTATTGCATGTCCCGTTCTAGGTTGTTTACGAGAGATCCTGTGAAGGCGATTTTTGTTTCTTTTTTTAAGTTAAGTTATATTTTGCATCCGCCATAATATTGATTTAACAATTTTTACTGTCTCTTTTTGTCAGAAACAGTAAAAATTATTATTTTTAAGAATATTTCTGAGCAGTGCCACTGGAGGCCTGTCGGGAGGCGAAAGTGGCTCTGTTCTTTCAGTGTTTCAGACTAAAACAAGGGTTGCCCCATCTCATGGATATTTCTAATCAAATGTTAACTATCATGTCCATGTGTCGACTAAACTTGTGTCTTCAGTGTGTGTATCACTTAACGTGGCTATAAGTTAGGCTGTCAGGAAATATGTGTGGTATAGGGCAATTTTCGTTTTCAGATATGCACCGCATTACACCAGAATTACTGGCCGTATGCGTGCCGCACATATGCAAGCGCACACATCACATAACGATTATGATAATGCACTAGATAGCACTTAGATTTTTAATTGTTTTCGAAAAGTAAATTTTAGAGCTAAATGTTTTGGGACAACCCTCGTTTATTTTTATTTTTTTAATTACTATGAGCACTGACGCCGCTCTCGATATCCTGCTTTGTGTGATCCTTTTGAATTTAACGTTTGTGTTTTGTTTGGAATGTAACACCTGTGCTTCCTTAGATGTACTTCTAAAGCAGCAAGGAAATGCCCGATGGTGACACGTTCTCCCAAAGTCCCGTGTGTGTCGAAAAATAAATCAGTTAATCGACGTATCGTTCAACATGATTCGATACATGTTCGAAACAAATGTTACGTCGGCGTCCTAGAACCTATCCTCGCTCCAGTTCCCGACACGACCTTTGCACACTTCGTACCGTGTCCCATCGCTCGGCGTAGAGTAGCCTGTAAGTTGAGCACTGCACCGTCGAAGCATTCGAGAGCGGCGCCCGTGTCGGTAGCGTAGTGTGTGTTGTGTGTGTGTGCGTGTGGGCGTGTACTAACGCTCGGCCGGCGGTAGGTGGCGCGCAAGCTCGTCATGATGGAGCAGGACCTCGAGCGGGCCGAGGAGCGGGCCGAGCTCAGCGATGGGTAAGTACCGCAATAGACGGAGAATGGACTGAGCCGGAGCGGCACTCGCGTTAAATTGACAACTCCCTAGAAAGAGAGAAAAACTGCCATTACATAGACGAACTAGGGCTTCGTGCACTCAGTGAAGTCAATTCACTGTCAAGTTTAACTAATATTGATGATGTCACTTCCTTTGCGATACCAGTAGAATGACTCAACACGTGTCTTAATAAAGTATTAAATTAATTTGATGTTTCTGATAGATATAGAGAGTTGACTAAGTAACACTCGCATGAATTGATAACTATCTAGAAAGAACGATAATACGGCCAAACATTGACGAACTATGGACCGATCGCCGTCTTGCCCAGTTTTATTTTACAGTTAATTTGGGAACGCTCAGTTCGTTCTCTATGTCGATGAAGTAGCTCTTGTGTTTATGCAGTGACTATAGGTGCTCCCACAGTAGCGTTAGCGACTGTTTACCTACGTTTAACATCATTTCATTTAACAAGTAGATACGATCTTACTTATTTCATTATGTTTACCGAATATGATCGGTCGATGACTTTATTATATTGACACTTAAAGTTAGCGTTGGTGTCGATTTCCTAAACTTAAAACTAAATTTAACATCAGTCTCGCCTTTTCATTCCGTATAGTGTAATAATAATATAATAATTAAGAAAAAAGGATAGACTTTTGTCATATTTAAGTTTAAGTTTAGAGAATCATACCAGAATCGACACCAATAATTGCAACTGTCACAAATAGCCTGGGGGAAAATATTCGCCGACGAGAAAAAAGTGTTACTAACGGTGTCTAATTTTAGCGTGGGAGCATCTTGCGGTCTCTAAAACTCCAATAAGTAGAGGTCGGGGTCAGAAATCAGAATGGGTAACGCACAAGCGATACTCATGATGTCGCAAGCGCTAAGCCTTATGTGATCGCTGACTTTTAGGCGTGCCTTATGCTTTTTAACATTCATATTAAGTAAGAAAATTAGAAATAGAAAGGTAAAGGCCACCTCTTATACTTTTAATCCATAATAATTATTCTGAAGCTTACATTCTACTTTTATTGGCTTCTATCTCGGTTTAGTTCATGTAAGAGTTGTCTAAGTATCTATGTGGGTGGAAACAGGAAGCCAGTCTGTGTTCAGAATACATTGCACACTGTGCATAATAAAGTGGAATATGCGTAACAGTGCACAATGCATTTGGAACAAAGCAGATTTTTCTTTACCGAATCTTGCATCCAAATTAGTAATACACCATAAAAATGAATTTTGTGAAACCTGATAATCAGGACCGGGTAATATTACGTAATTGGCTCGAAATGATAATTGAATAGATAAATCTTAGTCATATGCTGCGGTAAAACGGCCAAAGCATAATTTCATGGTTTGATAGCTGTTGTTAATGAAAACGAGAAAGTGCATCGTAAATCGCGTTCAGATGCTTATCTGAGCTGATGAATCATTTTCACTAAAAGATTAGGTAAAATAAAACCAGCGAAAGAGATAAATTAATTGTGATAAAAAGCAAGAAAATCTTTATTACCAAGACGGCAATAATCTTGCATGCACTTGTATTGTTGATATTTGGATCAGAATTTATGAACTGTAATGTGATAGAGTTTATTAACAACTATGTTCAAAGACCAATTAACAACAATAAAACACAAAATTGAAATAACCGACACGGGCTTTATATTATTTATTAATGTTGCACCATGGACATATGCTACCGTTCAATTTGACAAGTATTTAGGTCATCGATCGAACCCTGTTGTTAAAACGTTTAACTGCTGTTAATTTAGAAGTATCTTGAAATTTGGTACTCGCCTGTCCGTCACATAATTATATAGATACATATTTTTTAATAAATACCTACATAAATTAAAATATAAAATTGAAATAAACCGATCCAGGTTTCCTGTCGTATACTTATCATGCTGACAAATTTCCTTGACAAATTTAAAAATTCACGTAAATTTGATTTCGCACTTTTGTTGTTTTCCAGCAAAATCGTGGAGCTTGAGGAAGAATTGCGCGTTGTTGGCAACAACCTGAAGTCCCTGGAAGTTTCCGAGGAAAAGGTATATTTCGCTTATTTACTTAATATTCAAAATTACTTTAATGAACTCTAATTTAGTAAAAACAATAAAACTAGTATTATAGGACTAGTGTCCTAATTTGAATATAAAAAATATCATTTTATTAATATTAAGATAAACTCCAAAATTGCAGTTAATGATGCACCAACCATTTTCGGACAAGATAGGAAAATTTTATAGGAATTTATAAGTTGTGTATGTAATAAGGAAAACTACATTGAACCCACAAAGGCATAAAAATATATGAAGTTTATGGAAGAAGCAAATTATAAATACAGTTTTAGCTTCTAGAAGTTAACCAGTATGTCCAATTCTACGCAGGCCAACCAACGTGAGGAGGAGTACAAAAATCAGATCAAAACCCTCACCACCCGCCTAAAGGAGGTGTGACACGAACAAGACTGGTTCACTAAAGCGAGTGTTTTCGTGCGCTTGTCTAACTTGCATTCTGATGTACATACCCTCTAGCGTAGCAACTGTGTCTATTCTACCATCACGAATGTAAAGGAGTGGTAAAAAAGGCACAACACGTAGTGCGTCTAACTCGCCGTTTTACTCCGCTGACCTTATTCTTAATTTGGCTGCCGTGTATGTTCTTTTCCTTAACATTTGTTGTTATTGTAACCTACAAGTTTTAGCCTACTTTCTACTCGTTTACGTTTAGTGCTCCGTAGAATCATCGAAGTTCCAATGACTAAACTTCTCGATTCTATGACATACTGCATGGTTTTCCGTTTGCGTTGTTTTATGTTTTTTTTTTCGTTAACATACAATAATCACAGGCGACGCAAAGAGAAGAGACATACGAGGGTCAAGTCAAACTGCTGGACGCACAACTGAAAGAGGTAAAACGTACAGCTGAAGCGGAACAGACTCGTAGATAGTGTTGGTAACGGTTGTAGAATAGGATCATGCTCATCATCATTAAATGTATGGGGAATATCCTTTGCTAAGAAAGGTTGTACTACGTGTATCCCTATCCCTATCTTCGTGTATGTGGAATTTAAGTTATGGCAATTTTGTCGGTGTAGGTAGTCTACTGGCTGTCAGCGGTTGGTGCTTCATATTTCCTTCTTAAATGTGTATCATAATTTTTTTCTGTATCTATTATGTATGTACCTACTTGTTGCCGATTTTGTGATTGTACGCTTGTCGTTTGTGTTGTTCATGAATTTACGTAGTAGGTACATGTGACAAGAATCACATTTTCGTAAATCTCTCTTTCTTCTTCGATGTTAAGTGAAAGGACGATAACGTACAGTCATAAAGTGGGCGTGGCATGTCGGTGGCTTGCCGTCAGTAATTCGTCCTGTGTGGTTAGGCGATGGCGTCTCGCGAGCACGTCGAAGATAAGATCCACAGCCTCTCGCAGAAATTGACGCAAGTAAGTTGTGCTCATATACACCAGCTCTGGTCGCAATTTCTTCCTATTATCATTCTTAGTACTTTGCTCATTTGAAAAGGTCATTTCAACTTAGTTAATGAACTCTATAAAATGTTATAATTATCTAATTACTCGGATTTATTGCTTTAAATCTGTGTAATCGTTATCCGCTGAAACATTATGTAGATTTTTTATGGTACAATTGCGTCCAGAGTTACCTGTTATTGCCTCTACATGCTCATATTTTATGGGTGACGGTATTTTAGTAAATAAAAGGGTAATTTGTTTATTATGTTAATAGTGTAGTATCAACTGAGACACATTGCTGCTTTCGGTAAAGGTAAATTGCATGGCGTTGTGATGCTTTTCGATGTCTAACTTGAATTTGTTTTCTTTCAATACTAAAATTGTTTTGAGATTTGTTTACTCAATTGAATTCCAGTTTCAATCTGCATTTAAAAGTAAATTATTTTAAATAAAAGATTTATCTATTAATTTTTCAAGTAATTCTGAGTGATAAATATTGCATGAATTGATTACTTACTAAAAACAGCCTATTTTTTATCGTTACATTAAAATGTTGCTTAAATATTTTTTTTATTTTGATTATTGTTCTTTTTTCTGAACATTCTGTTTTATTAAAGAATATAAAAAATAGGCTGTTTTGCAAAAGGATGTATGTTCATACAAATCATTTGTAATTGCAGGCAGAGGCACGCGCTGAGTTTGCTGAGCGTTCCGTGCAGAAACTCCAGAAGGAGGTCGACAGGCTTGAAGGTAAATTTACCTTTCTCGATTTAAAAAAAAAACATTTCGAAAATACGTTTATGTATGAATATCAATTCAAATCAATACGTACCTACTATTTACCAAGTTGCTTCGAAAATCTTAACTTTTTGAAAAACATTTGAACTGTTAGTAGGTACATTGATCATGAAATCTAGTAGGGTCTTAGGTTTCGTAATAATGTATGATAATTTGTTTAAAGAGACAAAAGATTTAGCAATATTCATATTTCGATATTCACATGTTTTATGCTAGTGTTCAAGGTTCTGCAGATATTCCTACGTACAGCAACAGTTTGGTTAAGTCAAATCTCTGAAGTCAAGTTGACATTTTATAACATCGTTTGAGAAATAACCAAAGCTTAGATGAAACGCACTCAAATTCATCACAGCCGTCATTAGATCTGGCTTCTTGAGCTCCTATGCTGTACAATAGATTTGAAAGCTTTTTATTCTCATTTTCGCTATAATATCAGGCTTTTTCTATTTTCATAGTAACAGTTTTTTTTTATTTTAATACTGAATTTAGTTTCAATTTTGATATTTTATTGAATTGGTATGGATACAATAACTTTAGACTTTTATTTAGTTTTTGCTGGATAAATAAGTGATTTGAGTTCGAGTTATGAATGAACAAAATACCGCATAGTTACTGTATCTTGACCAAAATTATTTTTTTTTTTTTCGTGAGCATGATTGTATTTTATGTGTCCTTACTAGACGCTCGAACCTTCGATGTTTTTGTTTCTAGTTATGTGCGCATGGATTTCTTTTACTCGATGTTGTTTTTTGCCTTACCTATAATAATTTCAAACATTCACCCTATTCGAATGATGGCAATTTACTGGTGTTGTCTTTGAAATAAAAGTTTTACATTCAAAGAATTAAAATATTATTAGATGATGATCGTTTGAGCGTAATATTAAAACATTATGCATTAAAATCTTTAAACTATCATGAATGAGCGCATGTAAAATAGCAGTTTAAATATGAGCTTTCCTTTTCTATACAATAAATCAATCAAAGTAATGAAATCAAAATGTATAGTTGAGTTAGCTTTGTCTAACTTTTCGTAGTTAGACTGAAGATTTAGTACTTTATCCATCATCCGTGGTGAATGTTTGAAGCATGTGTTTGTTTGTCGTGTGTACTGACCGCGGCCCCGTCGGACCCTTGCAGACGACCTGCTGGCTGAACGCGAAAAGAGCAAACTTCTGCAAGAGGAGATGGAGGCCACGCTCCACGACATCCAGAACATGTGAACGTGTCCCGCCCCGCCCCGCCCTATCCCGCTCGCCTCGCGCTTTACTAACTATCGATATCGAAACATCGATACGCGCTCTTCACTTAACTCACGTAATAAATTCTAGCTATCCGATCCCTACTATATAAAAGGGCAAAGTCGAAAATAACATTTAAATCTACCAGTAATGATATGTACAAAAATTGAATTCATTTAACTCTGCTACGTTTATGAGATAAAAGTACTAGGACAACATGACCTCAGGGGATCCGTTTTAATATCTTTTACGGGATAAACGATGAAAACCAATACTTGTCGTTTTTACTTTGATTTATAATATATATTTTTAAGGATTTAACTGCTAGATTTATCAATCTACAGAATATTTTTACTAATATTCTTTGATTTTTTTATAGAAGCGAAATCGAATTCTGAGTTTCTACCTGTTATTACCGATAGAATAAGGTGTTTTATTTCTACATGCCCTACTAGGTAGTAGGGATGATTTGGTAGAAAAAGGCCCTCCGTTAACAATTGGCTATCGATCGAGTGATGGCGTGTACCAATGTATTAATTTATTTAGCGACGATGGTTTAGTTCGGGCGAGGCGAGCGGGCGTCTAGATGTCTTTTAGATTTAGTATAATTGCCAGCCGCTTTTTTTTATGTAACGTCAAGATCGAGTGTTCGTTAGACACCACTGCCATGTGCAATTTTTTTTAATTTGATACACAATATTTTTACTAATATTCTCTGATGAGACATTGAGAGATGTGTATTTTTTCGTTAGTCATTATTGTATTACGAGCGTGCCTGTAACGTTGATGTTTATGTTGAATGCAGCTATAGTACTCGCTTCTTATGGCATTTTCTAGTTGTGTAAGGTGTAACGCCAACATTCCAAATTGGGACCAAAATGTTTCAAGTGCACACTCGGACCGTTAAGATTCGATGGGAACATTCCACGTTGTTTGTAGCACATTTCTCTTTATAGTAACGCGTAGAACAAAATCCTGTTTCCTTTTTATGTAATTTTAATAAAGTTCTTATGAAAACCATCTCCCGATGTTTATAGTCAATAGTTAGTGCAAATGAATATAAATACTGAAAACATTGGCAATAATAATAATTAAATGCACTGTTTGCTATTATTTATAATGAACTCTTATTTACTTAATATTAGAAAAGAGATTAGATATTTTATTTAATGAAGTGGTATGGTAACACGTAAAATATTGATATTTATAAGAATATAATTTACTACAAAGTATTCGGATATTCTATTTTGTTTCGAGTATGGTTTACATTGTGTCATAAAAAAGAGTCTTGTTATTTATGTAAATGAATCTACGAGTAAACAACTGTCCAGAGTCATAGGCGAAGGCCTCCGCGAGAAAGGTTGTTGCGCACGCGCTGGCAATTAGCTTGCGGTGACGCTTGCAAACAAATATACAAACACACTCACTGTAAGCGAAACGTTCTATCGACGGAGAAACGTTTTTTAATGTTATTGATTAATGAATTGATAGTAAGTTCGTGAGAAATAAATTAATGATTTTAAGAGTATTCTAACACAAGTGTTTATAAATATATATTATTATTTTTAATTGGTGTTTGTTTTTTATTACTAATTCGTGTGGACCCCGTAACGATCCTTCGTGTTAACTTCATATCGATTCTATCAGCTATAACAAATAAAATATCATCGATCGCATAGTAAATATACATACATCATCATAACATTGAGATGACCGATCGACGACGTAGTCGAAATCGGGAGATACGGGCCGGGACCATGTTAAGTAAACTGTGCCGGGACTATAACGGAACGCAAACGGTCGGTCGAAAGAAGCGATATGAACCCGCGCCCGCGGGAGGGACCCGACGCACTGTACATAATCATCGCTCGACGCACGGGGCATGAGGACCCGCACTACCCGTAGCATAGCGACGCATGGAGCGGCCCCGTGTTAACGCATGCATCTCTGGCCGAGCTGACCGCGCCGAATGACGCAGACGACCTCATCAACGAGATCGAGAGGTTCAACGACATCGGCGACGACATCGACGAGTCGTTCGTCGAGCTCATCCCCGGCGTGGACCCGACGCCGAAGCAGGTGGAGATCGCGCGCAAGGAGTACGAGCGCCTGCACCCGCCCAAGGAGCCCACCCCGCCGCCCAAGGAGCCCACGCCGCCCCCGCCCGAACCAACGCCCGCCGAAGCCGCGCCTGTCGATGGGGCTCCGCCCGTCGAAGGGGCCCCGCCCGCCGACGGTGCCGCCCCTGTCGAGGGAGCCCCAACCGCCGAAGGGGCTCCTCCCGTCGAGGGCGCCGCCCCGCCCGCCGATGGAACAGCGCCTCCCGCCGAAGGGGCAGCTCCTGCCGATGGAGCCGCTCCGCCAGCTCCCCCTGCGGAGGGTGCAGTGCCTCCCGCCGACGGAGCTGCGCCTCCCGCTGAAGGAGCGCCCGCCGCTCCTCCAGCGGAAGGTGCCGCGCCGACTGCGGAGGGTGCACCCGCTGCTCCTCCCGCTGAGGGTGCGGCTCCAGCCCCTGCAGTGGAAGGAGCGACTCCAGCTCCCGCTGAAGGTGCCCCCGTCGCGCCCCCTGCGGAAGGAGCCCCCGCACCCGCTCCTGCCACCGTGCCCGCGCCGGCAGAGGGAGCTCCGGCCGCCGCGCCCCCGGCCGGAGATGCTCCGGCCCCAGCCGCAGCCGCACCTCCTCCGGCCGAGGGCGCTCCCGCTGCCCCTGCCGCCGCTCCTGCTCCCGCCCCAGCCCCGGCTCCCGCAGCCCCCGCCGAAGCTCCCGCCCCTACTCCCGCTGCTCCCGCTGCACCTATCGAACCGGCACCGGCGGCGGCGGCGCCCGCGCCCGCCGAACCGGCTCCCGCGTCGTAATCGAAAACCGCGACCGCTCCGCTCATACTGTGTCGAAGTTCGTGAATTTACCGCCGCACCGGTGATCGAATTACCGTTTTGTATATTGTAAATAAAGGCAAGAAAATAGCTGATGGAATAGTGTTTTCAATCGCGCGCCCCCGTAGAGTAGGCAAGCAGGACGATGCATGATGTGTGTGGGTGTCGGCGTTGCGTGGCGACTGACGGCGGCGGTGTCCGCAGACGAGCTGATCGCGGGCAAGGAGTTGTTCCACGAGATCGGCGGCGAGCTGGACGGCGCGTTCGACGACCTGGGGCTGCCGGAGCCCCTGCGCGTCTGCGACCGCTGCACATGCTGCCATTGACCACTCGCTCTCTTCGCTTTCCGTGTGCATTTAATATATCAGTAAACGCTATCCCTAATCATACTCTTTACTCTCGAAATAACGAACGACTGCATGACATCAGTCGAAACCTAAGCTTGAGGTAACAGAAGCGCATGGCTTCGGAATAACAAGGACACGACATGTAAGCATTTTCATTTACTTATTATTATTAATCTCTACGAATTAACTCCGGATGACAAAGATTTTATTAATTTATTTAATTTGACCCATCATCGACAATTTTACAGACTTTAATATGAATTTATATATCAGGGAGTATTACTCGACAATGTAATGGCTACTACCTAGGGCCTAGGCATAAACATACTTAATTAGGGGTACTTACACGTATATCAGTAGTAAATTAATGTTATTAACTTATTTGAGGAATGATCAATAATCCCTTTTTCATCTGGAGTTGCTTCTACCTACGCTTTAAAAACTAATTTGCTTTGAAACTTGACTTGTAGGAGTTTAGAAAATTACAAAGACTTATCTTAATCACCAGAAGTGTGTTATTTCACTATGTGCTGAATTAAGCACACATAAAATTCCTAATTTTAAACTATTGGGTCGCCTTTTAGGATTTCATTTCAAAAAACATCTTAAGTGGGTCGTCCACTAGAAAAAAGATGTAATTTTTTCCATAGTTCAATAAACTACCTAATATAGTTTTCCGTGACCAACTGGAAACTAATACACAATTTTTGTCATTCGCATCTGACTGGTCGTTGTAGAATGAGATGCAAAACAAAAACTGATATTTTATTAAACATGTTAATTGAAAATGCATAATTCTAATGCTAATTTTAAACATCGCAGACGAACTCGTGGCAGAGAAGGAGAAATACAAGGACATTGGTGACGACCTCGACACCGCCTTTGTTGAACTTATTCTCAAAGAATAAAGAGGGTCAGACAATCAGGGGTCGACCCAGGTCATCAGGGGTCGAGCCAGGTCATCAGTGGTCAACCCCGCCGGTCGACGGCGCTGCGGCGATTCCACCCGCCCGCGATTCAAACATTATCCATAGACGTATTTTCTATTTTATACTCCTGATTTAAAGTATTAAAATCCATAGCTGTATGGCGGTATTTATTTTCGAGTAATATATAAATAAATAATTTATTACTTATAATTTGGTTGTATTATTTATTTTCCCAAGGGTCTGTGTACGAAATTGATATTTAGGTTTTATGTATTAACGTGCGTTAGAATATAATACTTCAATGGTAAATCAACATTTATTTAAAATATATACAGTTGATTAAAGAAATATATCCCAAATACTTTTCTAGCTTCTTAGATAGAAATTTTGGTACACCATTATGCGCACTATAGCAGCATTTTATAAATTCGTCTCGATATTATAAGGTTTTGCAAAGTAAACAGATTTATCGGCTTAGTGTAACTATTAATATTATTAATTACGTCGATTATTGTAATGTAACAAGTTAAACAATTATTGTATTAACATTACAATAATTGTTTAATTTGTTTTGTAGCAATGTGGTACGCGAAAATAATAAAGGCCAAGAATACCAACCATAAGTAATCTTATTGGGCGTGGTGTGGCTGATAAATCTGTTTTAATTTATGGACACTGAACGACACTATTTTTGTTGATAAATCACACCGCACTTGTTGAGATATAGGCAATGCTTAAGTTTTTATTTGCTGCATGATTTAGCTGTTGATGTATCTGAAATAATTTGGTTATTAGTATATCATTGAAAGCAAAAACTTTAAATTGGAAAAATATCTGCAGAAGTTTTTTTGTACTCCTTTTTTGATTGATTTTAATGAAACTTAACAGTAATATAGCTCATATATGATAATAGCATATATATAATAATATATGTAGTTATTGAGTGAATTGGCCAAAATATAACAATAAGTGTCACATAAGACGGAAAAAATCTCCCATCTGCGAGCCATTTTGGCCTGCACTGCAAAAACAATAAAAGTTACATGAATATAATGTAGAGTGAAAATGTATCTCTTAAATAGTTCTAAAAAAAGTCCGTAACACCATATATCTACTTTTAATGTGTAAGCCATTACCGCTAAAATAGTGAATCAAAACTAAAATATTATTTGATATCTATTTCCAAAATGCACATTTTGTATTAACAAATTATTTTTCATGAAAACAAATAATTTTATCGCTTTTGATATTTAAAGACGATAAACTTTGCCTTTTACACTATGTCATTTCGACAAATATTTAAAAAGTTAAAACGATGACAAAGTGATAGCGCGGTAATACTGAGAGAAGGAGTAAACTGCGGGAGGAATACTAAGAAAAGAAATTTAATTTAGGTGTTTAAAAACGTGGATAAAACCTAGGCGAAAAAGAAAAAAATGGGCTACTCGCAGTATCTGATCCTATACGAAGTACTTATCTTACAATAAAACTGTGATACAGTTCCTTCTTATTAAATGATGAAATAGTTATTTATTATACAAGAGTGGAAAGTTCCTTTTTAACCGCGTGCTCGATTTGGATGACCGAGCAAGCGAAGGATTCTAAAGTTGAATCACGAGCGCAGCGAGTGATTCTAAATTAGAATCCTGAGCGTCAGCGAGGGAAACAAACGAGCACAAGGTGAAAAATCTTTCCACTCGAGTGCAATACGTAACTTTTCATCCCACCTCAGCGAGGAAATGACAAAATGAAAAAGAAAACAATTTATAATGACAAAATATTTTTATTTCAATTAAAACACATTAAGATAATCTATAAATTGAAGAAAATAATAAGAAGTAGAAAATAATTAAGAAATATTAAATGTAACGTTGCTACAGTTACTTATGTTAAGTTTAATATTTTTGTTAGGTAATGTTATGTTGGTGTTTGTGAATTGTGCGCTGTTTTGTGGTAAACTACTCGTATCAGTAATTTTAAATAGTTGTGCCGATTCATTGGATTCTATTGGCGTAAATGTTGGCGAGAGAGGGCTATTGTTTCCAATCTTATGGGGGCTCATTTTAGATGTAGAAGGGCGAGACCAAGAATCTGACAGAGGTTCTTTCAGCGTTATGGCCTCCACGATACTATTACAAATTTTTGATTTACTTTGGATTGAATCCTCTATGTATCCCTCTACAACCGAATTAGACTTCCAGCCTCCATGGCGCTTAAGCGATAGAAGATCAGCCCCTGATTCGGCCAAAAGTGTGGCTGAGGTTCTTCTAAAACAGTGACCGGTGTATAACGGGGGTTCTAAAAGTCCGAGAAAAGTTGCTATTTCTCGTGGAATACTGCCAATTTTATTCTGACCCATAGGTTGTCGGATACACTTTCCGTTGCGATATTGTAGAAAAAATCGTTCAATTGGGGTGTTAGAAGGACGTAAAGCTTGATATTTCTGAACAATGTTTACATATTCCTTGCGAATAACGAAGTTGCGGTCTTTTTTTGTCTTGGTATTTAGTACATTAATTAATAGCAATTCATCAGAATTATGAGAATATTTTGATACGTTATTGACATTAAGTAGTGTAAGTTCATTTGTTCGACATGCTCCGGTTATACCAATAATAAGAACAACCTGTAACAAAAGAAGTATTTATAATCGTAAATAAATTAATCAAATTAAAAATATTGTAAGTACTATGTACAATTTTATCAACAACAAAAAATTACACGTATTGACTTACTTTTGCCGCTAAATATACGGAATCAGGTGCTTCATTAATAAACTTTGCAATTTCAGATGCTGTGAAAACCTTCGATTTTTTTGGTTTATAACCAGATGAGGCTCTTTTTAAAAATGCCACTAATTTATGATAGGTGTCGATATGAACGTCTTTCTTCATCTTAATTGTTAATTTTAGCATTGAATACGTACTCCATAGCGTGCTTGCTTTCTTGGTCTCAGATAATTCTATAAAATATGCCAGCAAAACGTTTTCGGAGAAAGTTTTTGCTCCTTTAGCTAGTCGCCACATGTTAAATATATCGTACTGTTTCAAATACTTCTCTCGTGATTGCTGAGGGAGAAGGCTCATTTGCGCATTATTAACTGTTTCAGTTAACTCAGTTGGCGTTAGATAAACTTCATCGTCGCTAATGTCACTCATTTTAGTTGATTTTTTTGTACAGTTTTTAGGTTATGTTAATTATATTAAGCAATAAAACGTGAAAAACTAGAATGGCGCGAAGCACGCAAATAAAACAAAGAAACCAAGAAGGTTCCAAATTTAAATTTTTTCACAATTTAAAAAGTTCTAATCATAAATTTGGCACCATAGAGGTTACATTAAATAGGTTTAATGACGTTTTGAATTTACAATTATATTGAGTACTCATTATATGTGATGTTCTAAATTCAAATCTACTTTGCCGCTCAAGCGAATAAAATAGAATTTTCCAGCCAGATTTCGAAGCGCAAAATTACACTTTCCGAGGTGGTGGGATGAAAAATAAATTATCATAATAGGTATTTATAATTATTGAATTTTAATGAAAAACTCAGGATTAAACTGTTTTTTTTTAACGACATTACTTAATGTTACAAAAAAGGTTTACTTAATATAATGACAAAATTTTCGCTAGTAGGTACATACTTATTGGAATCCCTGTATTTATTAATCAGCTCGCGATTATATTGGTTTTGTAATTATAAACGATAATTCTGCAAAATTCAAAGTAAATAATATAGATTTTTAAAGGTAAATCACCCCTTTCATCACCCTACGCCTATAAGTATTGCGATGTTGTAGCTAAGAACCAAGTTCCCATCTACTTCTATAGGGGAATTCATTATGATCGATTTAGCTATTAGGGCACGGAAGCGCAACAAACAAACTCACTTTCGCATCTATAATATTATACTTACTAGTGATCCACCCGGGCATTGTACGGGCGAAATTTATTTTATCCAGATAAAATATAGCCTATGTCACTCGGACAAAATGTATTTAAATAAAGAAAATGTAATAATAAATAATGCAGCTACCATATTGGTTCAGTAGTTTGACAGACTATTTGTTACAAACATAAAAATCTTGCCTCTTTATAATATTAGTATAGATAGTTAGGCTAATAGTATTTAATTGATGAAAAAGATTTAAAAATAAAGTAACTCATAGGTTTATTTGATTATATTTGTAAAAGTTATTTAGCATTTGTGCTTATCAGTGATACGTTATTCGGTATTTTATTTATACAAAAAAAATATATTTGGAAAATAATTGCCATGATTGCACTATTTGCAATACATACTAGTCGTAGCAGCACGACTGATAGGTGGAAATATACTCTTCATTCGAGCTTTACACTACCAATAAAACTATAAATTGATAATAAATGAGATTGCTATGGTGCTCTACCTAACTTTATGAAAAATTTATTATGCGATTTTAGTTTAATCAAATATTATATCCTTTGCTTTGGTGATTGCATAATTATTTAATTTAGCGATCTAAAGCAGTTGCTACCATTGTTCAAAACAACAAAACAACGGGAATTACTGCTTTCTTCAACCTGTGACATAAACGTCATTGATTGGTATTGTATATAGGGTGATTAACAACATTTGAAGTTCTGGCATCTACATATTGGGTTTCTGTGAATTATGTAACCTATATCAAATTATGGGACTAGGATATGACATTGCATTTGTGTATATCACAATCTTAGAGCCGGACGTTGACATGACAATGCAGCCACTGCCAATTTTAAATAGCCGACGAATGAATTTTATATATACTGCTAAACTACTAAAAAGAACATAAACAAAAGATGACTTTTTGAATAAGTGCCAGTTTACTATAAAATTTACATACATTAGATATATAGGTAAAGACTTGATTTAACTAACTACTTTAACTGTTAACTTCACACATTTTTGCGAAAATTGAGGACCGTCTGTAGCCTTAACCCCGCTGGTAAAGTCTCTA